TAATATCACAATTAAATTTGTAATTTATAAGGTAAAATCAGAGGGAGACTTTTTTTTTGATGGGTGAAAATGGTATGGTAACCCCGCCTGCGGTAACGGGATACGCTGGCGGGGCACCAGTGAAGGGTGATAGATGAGAATGAAAACAGGCCAGTTAGCCCATCATGATAAATTCATCGGGAATTAACCATGATAGTTTTCAGGGAGAACCGCGAGGAAGTCGACCGGGTTGGGTATATTGCTAGCAATGGGATTCTCAGTCCCCATTACTAACAATCCCTTTCCCCCCAGAGGGAGACTTTGTACAAAAGTCAATTGCTTGGGTACCTCTATCCCATTCGTGTTTCAACCGTGAAACAGTTGTTTGCATGGCTGTGTTTCGGTTTGAAGGGTGGGATATGGCGTGAATTTACTGGGTACAGAGAAATAACACCAGAGTCCTCAGGAATGGCAACGCATGGGTGGTATCATGGGCGAAACAGTATACTCTGTTATGTCCATGGTACTGCTCATGTCTATAGGCGACGGTTACCACTTTCCATCAGGTGGCCCGTTAGCTTGTTTGCCATTCTAAGTTGTATAAAAAAAACAAACATAAAAAAAAAAACTTCCTTTTATTTGAAGTTGGTTGAAAATAGACTGTAAATAAATAAGTTATTATATGTAAAGTCCAAAAACAGAAATCAGTAACAATATTTATAGGAGATCTATTTGGACTGGCAACGTATACCAGCCTTATTGAATCATCAATACGAATCAAGGTGATGACCTGTACTTCTTCTTAGAATAGGCCTCCAGCTCGAAGGTCTCCGGCGGATTTCGCATTTTCTCGATTTATTATGTTACAAACGGGGAAAACATGTATTTTCTTGCATTCATTTCTGTTCAAAAGACTTCTCAAAGATGTTTTTCTTTTAATAAATTTCAGGGACTTTCATTTGTGTAATACTCGTATTATAAAGAGGAAACATTTTATGTTTTTTGTTTGTCTGTAATGGATATACTCGAAAAATACTTAAGAGATTTTAATAATTCTCTTACCTGCAGAAAGTTACATTATCAGCGAGTTATATGGTTTTTTTTTTATGGGTGATAATGGAATGGTAACACCGCCTGCGCCAACTGTATACACCGGCGGGGCACCAGTGAGGGATGATAGGTGAGAATGAAACGGTCAGTTAGTCCACCATGATGGATGCATCTGAACTTCAGCATGATAAGAATGTTTTTAACCGACTTCGAAAAGAAGAAAATAAGTTTTTTTTATGAGTGATAATGGAATGGTAACCCCACCCGCGCTATCAGTATACACCGGCGAAGGATAGGATAGGTGAGGATGAAGTAGGTCAGTTAGTCCATCGTGACGAATTCAACAAGAATTGTTCACGATAGTTTCCAGAGATGGTTTTTATTAATTTCGACAACTATTGTACAGGCTTTTATTTTTCGTTTACTGTTATAAATAATAATAATATATTGTATCACAAAGGAAAAAAATATAATATAATATATATATATATATATATATATATATATATATATATATATATATATATATATATGTGTTAAAAATTAGCACGCCGACATAGAGGCAGAATGTACACGGGAAATATAAACCTCTATCTACTAAAATTACCTGCATTCTAGCAAAATAAATTCATTTCATTTCACTAACTATAGATAGATCCCACAGTTACTTAACATACTGAGCATTGAATTGCTCCTGTGTCGCTTCTCCTCGCTCTACACTCAACCGTCTAGTAACACCTGGTATAAACATTTTGTCATACCTGATCATTTATAACAAACAACATTGTTTCTTGCTTTTACAAATTATTGGGGGTCGATTCTGAGGCGCCGTTTTTCTGAACTTATCTCTTAATTTAGGGTAGGTAATACATAGCAATATCTATTGTTTTTTATTCTACTTAGAATGGCAAACAAGCTGACGGCCCGCCTGATGGAAAGTGGTAACCGTCGCCTGTAGACATGAGCAGTACCATGGACATAACAGAGTATTATACTGTTTCGCCCATGATACCCCTCATGCGTTGCCATTCCTGAGGATTTAGATGTTATTCCTCTATACCTAGTAAATTCACGCCATATCCCACCCGTCAAACCAAAACACAGCTATGCAAACACAACTGCTTCACAATAAATGCTTCAAAATATTATGTTATGTCCATGGTACTGCTCATGTCTATAGGGGACGGTTACCACTTTCCATCAGGTGGGCCGGCAGCTTGTTTGCCATTCTAGATCGTATAAAAAAAAATACATTTATAAATAAATAACATTAACTTAACTTACTTTTTTTTGTATGTTAGCCAGTATATGAATCATTCTGCAACGATATAAATACTGGCAGTCTATATGGTCCGCAAATATCCTTAGGATAGCGCTAGAGCTGTCCCGGACACTACGCATCAGAGATGTGCACCGCTTTCGCATAGTAGCGTAGAAACAATCAACACGCACCTCGGCGAACATTCCCGACGCACTACAAAACCGGGACAGCCCTAACAGTACCCTAAACGCTCTATTACACTGTAGTAGAAGGGTACAAGTGAATGATAATAGGTGAGGATGAATACAGATCAATAGGTACATCGTGACAAATTCACCAGAAATTAATCATCATATTTTCTAGTGGGAACCCCTTTTTTTTTTATATATTTTCTTTATTATAGATTACAAAGATCCATTTTTATTAGTAACAATTGACTTAAACTATGTTAGTAGAAAAAAAAACAAATACAAAATTCATTTTATGGCCCCTATAATAATTTTGATCCACAATGAGAGGATCGGGCTATCGTATTTATTACACAATGCCCACAGAATGCTGTTACTGCTGCCACGCAGTCGGTGTAAAAGAGATGCGATCCGTTTGCGTTTGATGGCATAGAAGTCATCTGTCCATGCCGCTGCAAACATTGTGGATGCATTACAAAAACGTGGCAACCGTAACAACACCTGAAAACATTATTGTATTGAACTTTTAGTTAAACAATTTGTAATAAATAATTACACAGCACCATTTAATTAACTCGATTGAGGCATTTTTCATTGAAATTACTGTACAATTAACGCCTCGGGATGCCGAGTGTTGGTTCATTTAATACCTTCCTATTACGATTCTTGAATGTAACTTAAATAGAATATTTCATTAGACGATGGAAGGTTATTAATATTTAATATTTAATTTATCAACTTACACGTGCAATGCTTATATTGCAGTCAACTTTTAACCAGTCAAAAGTACTATTGACTAGCGAAATGAACAGGGTGCAATCTCTTAAAAAAGTGATTTTGGGAAGTACCTTATTTTGAATTGGTAAAAGCTGACCAATAAGATACTGCCCCTTCCTTACCCGTTGGTGTCGTAAGAGGTGAGTAAGAGAACTTAAAGATCGACGGATGGGCAGCAGCGTTTCTCTTAAAATATTACCAAAACTGCGGTTGCTGATCTGCCTGCCAAGCATGGCAACTACTGGCAACCCCTCCCCCCGCCGCCAATAAGGAGTGGCCTGTATTCAGCAACAGATGATAGTGATGATTAAAATACTATTTATGTTCATGTTTTTTTTTATACAACTTAGAATGACAAACAAACTGACGGCCCACCTGATGGAAAGTGGTAACCGTCGCCTATAGACACGAGCAGTACTATGGACATAACAGAGTATACTGTTTCGCCCATGATACCACCCATGCGTTGCAATTCCTAAGGACTCAGGTGTTATTCGTCCGTACCCAGTAAATTCACGCCATACCCCACCCTTCAAACCGAAACACAGCCATGCGAACACAACTGCTTTACGATTGAAACACGAATGGGACAGAGGTACTCAAGCAAACGACTTTTGTACAAAGTCTCCCTCTGGTATTTATTCTAATATATTATATTAGAAAACATTGTTTGCTTAATAAGAATTACTTAATTTTAATTAAGGAGATAAGCATATAAGCTCATTACATAAGATCAAAGTTAAGCGAATGTATGTAATTATTTACAATGGACAAAATTTCCCGGTTAATATTTGCAATTGGCAGTTTATGACCACAGTCGTGATTAGTGATAAGAGAACAATCAAACCGCTAAATTGATTGAAACATAATCAATAAATTCGTGCTAAAAGCGAAAATTATTTGATATAAAAAGAAATTTTATGGAAATAATTGAAAAGGTCAATGAACCAGAAAATTGAATTGGCGTTTGTTTAAAATAAATTTGGGCGTTACGTAAAAGAATTGATTTATTATTATTCATAAATAAAGGCGATTAAAAGTTAATTGTAAGATTAAAAACACTCATTTGCATGCATTTGTTTTTTATTTTTTACTTAATATATTCTTCATCTTTATGAGAAATAAAAAAAAAAATAAAATAAATACACTATCAGGACATAATGTGATGAAAAAATTTTGCAGGTACGTAATATTATATGTTTAAACAACACAAAGGTTTTAAAATTAACGAATAAAAAAAAAATTGTTTAATTTGGGATATGTTACTGCAGGAAACAGTATTTTATAATATTTCGCCTCTGATAATAAAATATAATTGCAGAGAATTTGATCAAAATTCATTCAATTAGTTCATTTTATTGCTGTTAAATAAAATAAAAATTGCGTGGGCCCTGGTAACCTGATTAAAGATTTTATTATTATTGTTATGAAATTAATAATGGCTGAAATAATGATAATAATGATAATGTTCGTGAATTCGCGAGCGAATTTTGTTCTAATAATTTTTTTTCGTAATAAATGGAGGCAAAGAAACCTGAAGAATTCTTTAGAATTATTTTGGATACAACAAAACTATTAAAAACTTTTGATTTACAAATGTTTACAATGTCAACATTTAGATGAAATACGTGTATCATAATAAAGAAATCTACGCCATTTTAGCTATTAACATAAAGAGTACTGTACCATAAAATATTATTACGCATTACGGAGTACCTAGAGCGAAATGAAATAAAAAAAAAATATTACTTACAATAAATAATATCTTTATTTATTAAACAAACAACTTTAATAAATCACTGGAATCAGCACGCTATCTTTTTTTGGCTGATAACCCTCTAGACAGATTTCTACCATATTTTTCACTCGAAACTTAAAGCTTCATTCAGTCTTTGACACATTTTCAATCTTCATTCTTCACTCTTCAACTTCTCCGTCTACGAGCAAATAATCCAATCCATTGCCTTCCCCGCCCTTTGTCACTTCGTTCTCTTTCACTGTTTTTGTTGTTGTTTTTAATTCCTTCTTCCTTATCTTCCCAATGTGGGTCGTTGTGTCTTCTTGTTGCCAAATCGGCGACTCGGTTGATAGTTTGGCCGGATCCACCTTTTCTAGCAACGTTTCCTTCTTCTTGTTAGTTTTATTTTTTACCAACTCCGCTTCATATTTTTCGGTTGAAACTTCTTCTATTATGTCCACCGGGTTTTCTGTTTTCTCTACTGGTAACCTAACTTCAATAGGTACTTGTCTTTCGGGCGGTGGTGGAGGCAATTTATGTTTCGGTGCCCAAATACTCAGGATGCCGTTTTCATTCAAAACCGCTTTGACCTCTTCAGGTTTACATTCCAAAGGTAAATCGAATCGTTGGAACATACGATTCTTTATGAATATCTGTCCTTCATCATCGCTTACTTTATGATTCCCTTTCACCACAATGTTATGTTTGTTTACCGTCACGTTTAACTCGTCCGGTTTGAATCTCTTGACGTTCAGGTTTATTTCAAACTTTTTATCGTTCGATATTATTCTTGAGCCTTCGAAGTTCACTTCAGAATCAATCGCGGCTGCTGTTCTAACAATCTGACTCCACGGCCACAAATAGTGATGGGAAAGTGCGTGACTGATGTAACGGTCCAGTTCCTCAAGCGAGTCTCTGAACCTGTGTCTCCTTAGTTCATTACTGGACGCAACACTGATAACTCCAAATATGAGCACGACGTATTTGATCATGTCGTTTGTTTTGATTTCCTTATCGGTAGCGCGCTTTCGAAATATCTTATGCCGGTTGCGGAGTTGTTTCGAATGCTTATATAGGCTTGGTTGGTGTGGGGCGATTGTTCGAGAATATACGGCGTGTGCTTCATTAATGTGAGGAGTGCACCGGTACCGGCCAGGCGCGCGCAACTGTCGGCACGAGAAAGTATGGTGGCTCGTAGTTTGTTATGTAAATGTGATTCATGCTTGATTCACACGTTAAGTGGGTGTTTGTTTACCTTCAAACATAAGCAACCTGTTATATGTTAATTTACGTTGTTGTTGCAATATTTTATGTAGAATAAAAAAGTGTACTGTTTTCCTTTGAAATATTAATGTTTATCTAGTCTTATTATAAAATGGCCAGAATTAGTTATTTTATTCACGGCTATTTTATGATTACTTTCAAAGCTTTATAAGCGTACTAATTAAAATTTTCCAAATTGAAAAAAAAAATATAATGTATTTTTTTGTTAAAGAAATTATTTTGTTATATTGTAATGATAATTTTGGTATATTATGATAATAATGTATGATATTTATCATCGTATCACAGTTTTTTTTCATTATTAGCCATTAAATAATCTACAATTGCAGAAGACAAACAAAAATTGCGTAACATGTATAAATAAATAAATACGTAATCCATATGCTTCTTTTGAAGTTCTTTTTTATACAACTAAGATGGCAAACAAGCATACAGTCCGTCTGATGGTAAACGGTCATTGTAGTCTATGTACTCCTGCAACACCAGGGCTGTCACGTGTTTTTGTTGCCGGCTTTAAAATAGGGAGATTTTGTACAAAAGTCGATTACTTGGGTACCTCTGTCCCATTCATGTTTCAGCCGTGAAGCAGTTGTGTTTGCATAGCTGTGTTTCGGTTTGAAAGGTGTGACATGACGTGAATTTACTGGGTACAGAGGAATAACACCTGATTCCTCAGGAATGGCAACGCATGGGGGGTATCATGGGCAAAACAGTATACTCTGTTATGTCCATGGTACTGCTCATGTATATATTGCCATTCTAAGTTGTATAAAAAAAAAGTTTTCTTTTAAAATACAGGAACAAACGAGCATGTGGCTCGCCTTTTGATAAGTGCCGCCGCATATAAATAATAATAAAATAGTCAAAGATTATTTTGTCATAAATTTATTTGAATTAAAAATGCACCACTAGCTGTCGACTCCTGCGCCCCTGTTTAAATTCGCAGACATACGTGAGTCCCGTTGATGTACGTTACGTGTGACACTGTGTGCGTGTACAGTTAGCAGAAAATGACTCTCATTTGTGGGTCACAGTTATAACTTTTGCTTTTATTTGTTTTTAATAATAATAGAATGATAATTCAATTTTTATGTATTAATAATTTAAGTTTTTTGTTTATGCTACTTAGAATGGCAAACAAGCTGATGGTCCACCTGGTGGAAAGTGGTAACCGTCGTCTATAGACATGAGCAGTACCATGGACATAACAGAGTGTACTGTTTCGCCCATGATACCCCCCATGTGTTGCCATTCCTGAGGACTCAGGTGTTATTCCTCTGTACCCAGTAAATTCACGCATTTAAGAGGATAAATGAAAGTAATATGTAGACGATATTGGTGGTATAGCGGTTTACTATACTGCCTCGTCTTACAGTACTGACGGGTTCGATGTCCGCAAAATAGAAGTATTTGTATTCATAAGCAATTTTAATTCTGTCGTGTCATGAGATGTGTGTGTCATGGCAAAATGTTTGTTTTGGTTAAAATGTAATTGAAGTTTTGAAGTCGTATCTTATAATTCAATTTACACGAGTTTTCAATTGGTTTTTTAAAAAACAATTCATTAATTGTTATTCGGAAATGTTTTGCCCTCCTTTAGTCTCCTCTTATGACGCTCACGTGAAAGTAAGGGATGGCCTATTTTATGCCGGGACCACACGGGGGGAAAATATTTAGTCATTGTCTAATACTCGCTGTAAATACTTTGTTTAGTTGGTCGTTAGATGGCGCTGTATAATATGTAATCTATTAGTATTTACTATCTATTTATAAGTCAAAGCGAGATAATCAGACACATGCCAAATAATTGTTTGTGATGAACTAATTCTGTGTCATAATTAGAATGAGATTCAATCGGTATGCGGTGATAAGGTATCAGCGGATTGGGGACGTGATGTAATATTTTGTTTCCGTTCCTTAATCTTCCTTAATGGATATTACTGTCTGATAAAATAAAAGAAAGCTTACTATAGAATTTAAGGATATGTAATTGAATTAGAAATTATTTTAAGTTATTAGTTAAAAATTATTTGAAAAAGGAATTTAACGGTCGAGCTATGGACAGCAGCGTCCCTCATAGAACATCCCCTAAAGTCTCACTGCGATTGCCAATCCGCCTGCCAAGCGTGGCAACTACTGGCAAAATCCTCCTGTTGGGAAGGCTTACGTTCAGCAGTGGACAATAGATGATGACGATGATTATTTAAAAAGACATTTTTTTTTTTCTTATGTGGGGAGAAAGGTTAATTATGAAGAGAAAGGAAATCAAGATCACAATAGAAATAAAAATATGACGTGGTAACCTCAAATAATGATAAAACTTGACAAAAAAAATATATATATAAAATGTCTTCGATAGTAGCAGAATCAGTTTTTATAATAGTTATATTTCATTTTTATGTTTACCTCAGAACTCTATTATTTATAATGTCTGTTTCCTCCCACGAACACTCAGATTGTGGAATGAGCTCCCTGCCGAGGTTTTCCCAAGAGACTACAGCATGGGGTTCTTCAAAAGGGGGGTAAAGGGGTTTCTTTAGGGTCGGCAACGCACGCGTAATACCTCTGGTATTGCAGGTGTTCATAGGCTACGGTAACCACTTGCCATCGGGTGGGCCGTATGCTTGTTTTCCACCTCAGTGGTATAAAAAAAAACTAATTTGGATTTTTTGAATTAAAAGAATATTCTTACGGTTTAGTTCTACAGAAATTTTATCAAAATTGTATGTAGTAGTAGTGTAGTTTTTAAATCAAAACAACTGTTTTTTTTTTAAATAAAAAATTTTCAAATTGCCACAATTGAAATTTTTTTTTGTGTAATACAATTTTAATTTATGGTTAAAATACATTATGAAGTTAATGATCCGAGTCAGAACAGCGTGTTATTTGTTTTTGCATAACTATAAGTGTGTATAACTGTGGTATTGTTTGGTTTAATACTAACTAGGTTAAGAGGTTCAGAGTTCAGAGAAAATGCCAAAAGTAAGTAATTGGAAAGGTATTGTTATAAAACATAACTTTTAAAACCGGTTATTAGTCATAAAGTTATTTATTTCTTTACTCTTTACTGCACCATAAGTATATAAATTTACCAGAATGAGACTTTGTACTAAAGTCGTTTGCTTGAGCACCTCTGTCCCATTCGTGTTTCTACCGTGAAGCAGTTGTATTTGCATGGCTGTGTTTCAGTTTGAAGGGTGAGGTATGGCAGTGAATTTACAGGGTATAGAGGTATAACACCTGAGTCCTCAGGAATGGCAACGCATAGGGAGGTACCATGGGCGAAACAGTATACTCTGTTATATCCACGGTACTGCTCATGTCTTTACCACTCACTTTCCATCAGGTGGGCCGCCAGCTTGTTTGCCATTCTAAGTTGTATAAAAAAACCATTTAAAGAATAATACAAAGATAAATATATAATACACTTATGGAGTACAAATGGCGCTCTTATCACTAAAGCAATTTCTGTCATTCTTTCATTTTTCCAGACTATGTACCTTTGGATAGATTATTCATAGATAGATAGATAGATAGAAAGATAACCTTTATTACCAGTATTAAGAAAACAAAAAAATAAAACAACAAAAAGAAAAAAAAAAAACAATTAATGTTGCTGGTAATAGGAGCCGCCTTAGCTGTTGCTATATATGTACAGCTCCAGCGAGATGTACCTATATAGCGCTGATTTTCAGGCGGCACCTTCATATGGTCATTATATTCGTCTATATTTTTCATGTATGAATCCATTTTATCTTTTGATGAGGTCAGCTAAGTCGTTGCACGTCGACCCATTTAGATCTTTTATTTATTTATTTATTTAACTCTTTATTGTGTCAAAAACATAAAAATAAACAATGTAATATAAACAATTCAACTGAAATACAGTAGGATAAGCCGTTCCCGGTAGACTCATACGCATATTTGTCAACGAATCACAGCTGTACATTAGATGTTCCATTGATTTTGGATTTATATGAATCCATACATTGCCAGCATCAGCGGCTTGAAAAAAAAAGTATTTTTATAATGAAAATTTGTCACATTTTTTTTTGTTTTTGATATTTATTTTTGGTATATATGAATAAATTTTATATGCGAACGTTACATGCATATACTATGTTTTAGATTCCGTCATACAACATTGTAACTGCATATAACGTAACAAACAAAACAAATCTTTATATTAAACTTTATAAAACATATATTACACTGCCAAGATCAAATATAAGTTCCAATCTTTTACATAAAATTATCAAAGCATATCAGCGAACAGTAATAAGCGCCATTAATAGTCATGGAAATTTAGTCTCTTGGCCGTTGAGAATATAGTTGGAATTCGTTCAAAGGAAGCTGTGTGCGTTACGATTTTTCGTGAATATTCCATCCGTTTTGAAGCCAGTGAAACAGTAAACAAATGTACGCAACAGGTAGGGGATAGGGGAATTTAATTTATGGCAGTAGGTTGGGGCACGTCGGCCTGTCATGGCGAAGGAACGTTGGGATAAGAGAAATGAGATGGGACGTTATAATAAGCTTGTGATTGCAAATTTTTTTTTTCTATATAAAATTGTCCGAGTATATTTGTTTTTGAAGTATAAGATTAAAATGAGTAAAGCAATATTCACACAACTCCGGATCAAGGGTTTTTAGTCTTTAGGTCGTTCAGGTTCATTACTCTGACGGCAAATAATTATAACTGTCTTATACCAGAGGGAGACTTTGTACAAAAGTTGATTGCTTGGATACCTCTGTCCCATTCGTGTTTCTACCGTGAAGCAGTTGTGTTTGCATGACTGTGTTTCGGTATGAAGAGTAGGATATGGCGTGAATTTACAGGGTACAGAGGAATA